CTTCTTGTTGACGATTTATTTCATTGTCGAATTTCACAGAATCTGATGAATCGTCAACCGCAAGGTCTGGCAAAGCTGGAGAAAGTGGTTCATATGGGAGAAGTGCTGCTTGCTTCAACATCAACTGCTGGCCAAGAGACTCTGGCGAATGAAATTTCAGCTCTGAAGGCTTCTTTTAAAAGCCTTTTTGATGGTAACCAAAACTCCTTCATTTTTCTAGAATTATTTCGAATTGTATCTGCTTACTGGTGCAATAATAAAATTCCGACGATAGTTTTGTCGACTTGACACCCTCAGTTTTCGATTCCGAATTATTAATTAAAAAAAATGCAAAAAATTAAACAAGTTTTGAATAAATGTGCAGATTTTCCTCTGAAAAAATACACTGGAGCTTGTTTCCAATGCAAAGGTATATCTCAGTTGAGAATGAATGACAAACAATCGTTGCTTGACCTTTAGTGAGCCAAGTTGTAAGAATCTCGTATCCCTTTGATCTCACAATATTTGGGAAATGACCCCAAAAAATCTTTGAATTTTTTGCAGAAATCGAAGCGCAGAAGAAAGAGCTGGAAGGACTTCTTTCTCAGATGCGAGGTTACAAGGACGAGTATGAACGGATCAACGACTGGTTGCAGCAAACTGACGCCGACATGAAAGCTGCTCGTACCATGTTGCTTCCGAATTTACCCGAAAAAGAAAAGCAATACTTGAAAGTCACGGTAATTTTCCGCGTCTCCTCCTGCCTCGTATTTTTCGAGAGTGATTTCATTGTCCATTAATTTGCAGCGGCAAGTGGAGGAACTTGAAAGTCGGCAGGATGAAGTTCAACGGCTCAGTTCATCCGCAGCAACTCTCTTGTCGTCTCATCTGGATTCTTACATTCAGTCGCAACTGCGGCATTTGCAATCTCGATATCAGGTCCGAAGACAATTTTTTTTGTTTATTATGACAAAGAACAAAAGAGCCTATTTTTGCCGACCGAACTAGTTGAAGTACACAGTATTATCGAAAATTTTCGTATACAGTGTAATGTTCTACGAGAGATTCCTGACGGTATCTGAATGGATTCTTTGCAAAATTATTTTACGAAACAAAACAGATTAATTCAGGCATCGAAGTAATTCGGAGTTTTGTACTGGTATGACGAATCATTCTACATCTCGAAGATCTCTGATGGTGCGTTTTACAAATTTTTTAATCTATCAGGTTCAAGTGAACCTTGCGAAAGACACTTCGCAGAAGGTGACTGCCATCTACCAGCATCACAAGCAGATGGAAGACAATCGGGCTGCTGGAATGACTTGGATAGATGCTGCTAAAGCCGTTATCCGGGACGGAGAGGGTCTCAGTTCTTCTAGTCGCAAAGAAGACCTGCTGCAGCATCTCCAAGATATTCAAGTTAGCAATCAGTTAATCGCATTATTTTACGCCTTATTTATCAATCACCTTATTTTGCCGCTTTTCTTTATCAGCTTCGAATGAAACTCATTTAGCGACTGTAGCTGTTGAAATTAATTTATAAAATTCCAAATAATGATGAATTACACAAAGTTTTTCATGCATTTCGACCGTTTTTCCTTCAGAAAATGATCAAGAATCAAGATGAAGGAGCCAGTCTGGTTCATGCTGCTGTCAACTGGGGAGAAAAAGCAATCATGTCCACAAGGTCCGATGGCAAAGATGCCATTTCGATTAGAT